AAAAGTGCTGGGTGGGGGGCACGCCGAAGGGGCCCCAGGCCCTTGTGCCACTGGGGGGGGGGGCAGCTCTGCCCTGGCACAGGGCACCCAGGGCAGCCCCTGCTCCTGGCACATGGGGCTGGGCCAGGGACAGCCAAGGGACAGGGCAGGGAGGGGGAGTGGAGACCCCACAGCTGCTGGCAGGGCACAGGTTGCCACCTGTGAAAGCTGAAAAGCCCCAGCCTCTGGCCACAGCCCCCTACCCACCCCAGGGAGGCGTGGGCCCCCCCAGGCCCTGCTGGCTCCCCCAGGGCCCATGCCCCTCCTGCCCAGGCCAGACCCCCAGCTCGAGGAGCTGCTTCCAAGCCCTTGCACAGCACAGCCCCACCCCAGCTGGGGCTGGGGTCCAGCCAGGACCACCCTGGAGCCCGGACCAGGGCCTGTAAACACGGGGCGGGGGCAGCGCTGTTTACCCAGCACATTCCTCAGCCTCCCCGCAGCTGCCAGGCAGGGCCGGCCAGACGGGCACGTCCAGGTCCAGCCAGCACGGGGGGAGCAGCCCAGGCGGGCAGCCTCGTGGCACGGCCTGGCCAGGGGGTCAGCAGGGCTTGGGAGACCTGGGAGCAGGGTCCCCCCACACCCCAGTCTCCCAGCTGCCTGGGAGAGCAGAGAAGCTGGGCCAGGCCTGGGACTGCCCCATATGGAACGGGCTCCCAAGGGGGGTGGTGCTCTCCCCTACCCTGGGGGTCTTCAAGAGGAGGTTAGATGAGTATCTAGCTGGGGTCATCTAGACCCAGCACCCTTTCCTGCCTATGCAGGGGGTCGGACTCGATGATCTATTGAGGTCCCTTCCGACCCTAACATCTATGAATCTATATGCTGGCTCCAGGCAGGAGCTGCCGGGACGGGACAGACTTTCTGTAGAGCCAGCTGCTGGACCCACCGGAGGGGGACGGCTGCCATGTGCGCATCCTCCCCTCAGCCCCTACACGGGGTCAACCCCAGGCGAGGGCCCCCGCAGGGCAGGGGAAGCACGCAGGGGCTGCACCCTTCAGCCCGCAGCCCCCACAGCACAGGCCTGCCTGCAGTCCTGGTGACACCAGCCCCGAGGACACAGCTCCGGGGAGCAGACTGAACACAGGACAGGAGCAGACGGGGCTCCAGCAGCACAGCTGGCGAGTAGGCCCAGCGCTGCCCCCCGCCAAGATCACTTTCTGCACAGAGCTGGGGCAGATGCTGTCGTGACCTGGCTGCAGAAGTGACCAGCACGCAGGGAGCGGATGTGGCAGCACTCACAGGGCTGCAGCAACTGGACTGTGCAGCCCCCAACACATGGCCCTGAACAGGTGAGGCGGGGGACGCCGAGGACCCCCCCACCCTCCAGGAACTCCGCTGACCCCCGCCCAGGGTGGTGGGGCAGGGACACACAGCAAAGGGGCCCCTGAGGCAGCAGCAGCAGCATCCTCCCGTAGCCCCCACCCCTTGCAAGCCAGGCAGACACAGAAGCCAGCTCCAGCTGAGGCTTTTATTGGTCTCAGACACACTAATACATTAATCTTGGTCCAAAGCAGCAGTTGCAGACAGGCCTGGGGAGAGGAGGGGGGTCCTGCCCCAAGAGGACCTGCTCTGGGACCCAGACCGCCCCAGCCTTGACGCTCTGCACCAGGCTGGCTCCCCCGGGGGGCAGGACTCCCAAGTCTCAGCCTGGCTGGGGGGAGGGGAGGGGAGGGGAGGGGAGGGACCCAGTGCCCAGCAGCAGCAGGTTCCAGGCCAGAGACCCAGAAGAGCCCTGGGGACCCCCCTCCCCAGCCACAGCCAGAGATCACAGGCCCCACCCAGGCTCTGCAAAGACAGCCCGTCTCTCACTCACGCCCTGCTCTCATCCTGGCCTAGCAGGGCTCTGAGGACACCGGGGACACCCAGCCAGGCAGAGCAAGGACAGGCCAGCTGCCCCCATGGCTCCACTCAGCACTAGGCCCGTTGCCCCCACACACCTGAACGGAGCTGCCAAGCCGGTACCCACAGCACTTCCCAGCCTGGGGCAGGGATGGCTGCAGAGCAGCGAGGGGCAGACGGCAGAGGAAGCAGCCATGGGGAGGCCAGGCCAGGCCCCTGCCCCACCCACGGCTGCAGCAGGCGCTGGGCAGGGCAGGCCCGGGCAGGATGCGCCACACTTCACTTGGCAAGAGCCAGGCTGCAAGGCGCACACACGAACACTGTCTCCCGCTGCGCCTCCGGAGCTGCAAGGGGGGGCCGTCACACCCGCTGCCCCACTGCTGGGAGGCCCCTCCCTGGCCCTGACCACAGCCATGGTTCCCACTCCCACCGAGCACCCCTCTGCTCCTTCCAGGGCTGCTGGGGCAGCAGCAACCAGGATCTCCCCCGTTCCCACCAGGAGAGACGGGAACAGCAACAGAGCTGCTCCTGCCACCAACCAAGTACCCCTGCCCACCACGCACTCACCTGTGGCTCCCATGGAGGACTTGAGCACCTTGTAGGAGCAGCACCGGGAGCAGAAGCTGTTCCCACAGTTGCTGCAGCTCCGCTGTGGACAGACACGGGTGAGACTTGGGAGCGTGGAGCCCCGTGAGGCAGGGAACAGCCCAGCCCTCACCAGCCACTGCGAGTGGACCTGGGGCTGAGCCACTACCCCCTCCTTATGGAGAGGTCCCCAGCCCCTGGCAGGACTGAGGCCTAGCTCAGAGCTCAGGGTCCAGCCCTGGGCCTGCACCAGGCAGGCAGAGGCCTCTCCCCCCAGTGCCCTACCCAGGTCTGGGGGGCACCACCAACTCACCCTTTTCTTGAGCACGGAAAAGGTGGCAGCACAACCGGTGCAGCTGCCTGCAGAGATAGCACAAGGTCAGGCTGGGAAAGTGCCCAACAGCCAGGCCACAGCACCCAGTCCCAACCCTGCAGTGCCCAGCACCACCCCGCAACGCGCCCTGACCCCCTGCTGCACACCGAAGTTGTTGGAGGGGCAGCGCTTGCGCAGGCGCTCGGTGAGGCGCGACACCTTGCTGCGGATCACCTCGTTCTTGCTCAGGAAGCCGTTGTCCGGGAGGTCAAACTCTACCGAGCACTGCGAACTCTCGTCGTCCTCCTGGGGACACAGAGCAGCTCCGTGGGGACAGGCCAGACAGTGCCCATGGGGAACTCCCGCCTGCCCCTGCCCTGCCCACCACATGCCACCCAGGGGGCGGAGGCTGGGGAGAACCAGTGCTGCCTGGAGCCAGGAGGGCACGGGGGCAGCCTGGCACCATGCATGAGATGCACTGCAGGGCCAGAGCAGGAGGAGGGGACCAGCCCAGGTGCACCGCGGGGCTGAGGCCGAGCACGCAGGGCCCCGCGGTACTCACCAGGCCCAGCAGCTGGTTCTCCTGCTCCCGCAGCATGGGTCAGAGAGGAAAGGCAGAGATGGGTGGGGCAGCAGTGGGCACCAATGCATGCCCCAGCACCAGGATGCACCTGCCTAAGGCAGCAGCTGTGGGCCCAGCTCACTCCTGGCATCGCCTGCTGCCAGACCTGGAGGCAGGTGCAGCACCCCCAGCCCCCATGCCTGGCGCCTGCATCAGCTGCTGCTTGGTGTTAACGCAGCCTACCCACCCCACTCCCTCACCTCAATGGCATCCTTGAACTCCTCGTCAGGCTCTGCCTCCTCTGCCTCCTCCACGCTGCCAGGCGTCAGGTCCTGGGGAACAGGTGGCGTCACCAGGGCTAGCCCTGCCCCAGCCCCCAGGACACAGAGCAGATGGGACCCACGCGGAGCCAGGGAGGGGAGTGCTTACACCAACTCCCAGGATCAGGACCCTAGAGATGTACCACGTCAAGGGCAGGGACCATACCCAAGGTCAGGCCCGGGGGTGAGAGGCGGCGACGACACTGATGCCCTGTGGCACAAGGGTCCCCAGACAGGACGTGCCCTTGCACCCTTCTCCACCCTCACCTCGGCACTGGTGGGTGTGGGTGTCCGATCCGGCAGGGGTGCAGCTGCCCCAGCACCTGCCTCGATCTCAGCCGGCTGTGAGGGTGAAGGGCTCTCAATGGGCCTGATGCCCAGCTGCTGCTCCACTGTGGCCTTGAACTCCAGCACCACTGTGGAGACAAGGGATGGGAGCCAGGTGGGTCCCGTGCCCAGCAGCCCCCTCCACGATCTCTACCTGCCCCTGTGTTTTACAGGCCCAGACCACAGGCACCGCACTGCCACCCTTGCCTCCTGGCGCGGCCCCAGGCCACGAGACTGCCCTGCACAGGGACAAGGTCTAGGCGTGCCTGGCACGGGGGGAGGGGGGGCACTGCCACTGGCTCTGCACCCCGCCGTGGACCTCTGCTGCCCCCTGGTGGGGGCCAGCGACGCAGCAGGGCCCAGTCCCTACCCCTGCTGCAAACAGCCCAGGCAGCTTCCCCGCAGGCTTGCCCCAGCCGGGCTCGTACCCTGGTAGAACTCGGCGCTGCCCAGGAAGAGGCTGCTGTTGAGCAGGGCGAGCACCCAGCAGAGCGGCAGCAGGTACAGGACGCAGATGGAGCCCAGCAGCGCGCCGTAGAACCTGGGGGGAGCGGGGGTCAGGACCGGGCAGCCCCCACTTGCAGCCCCTGCCTCCCCCACGGCCCCCGCCAGGGGGCTGCAACCCCGCAGCAGGCTGCAGGTTTTCAGAGGGCTCGGAGCAGCCCCGTGCGTCTCAGGTGCAGCCGGCCAGCGATGACCGACCGCAGGCAGGCGAGCGCGGGGCAGCTGCAGCAGACAGCGAGCTGGCACCCAGGCCGCTGAAAGGACGCCTGCGACCACGTAAGCGTTTCGTCCTGCTGGCTTCTGCGG